ACACAGGAGAAAGGAAAGCAGCTCGTATTTAATCTTTGTGCATGGATCCAATAAAGCGATCAGGTTGTGTTTAACCGTGCTGCCATCACAGATGTGCTGTTCTTAATGTCCGAACACACCGTACACTTGTATATATATATAACCTGCCAACTGGGCTAATCCCTGTTATGCAATATTTACGGCTGAGAGACAGCGGACCTGTTTAAATCTGGGCCGCGACTCCCCAAAGGCTGCCCAGAGCCTCACTCAGAGCGCAAATCACCATGCGTGCATCCCAGCAAACCATCAGCCAAACATATCCTTCAGTTGCAGAACTCCTTTCACTAAGGGTTCTCTGATGTCTTTTGTTCCTACTTAAAAAACAAAACAATGAGAGAACAGGCTGCGTGGGTTCGTCACTCAAGCTGGAGGGGAGGGGCTTCCGATTGGGTAATGGACCATGCTGGTGGCCTCATATACACTAAACAGAGACCTGGCAGCCAGTGTCCTTAATGTCGCGACAGACCTGCACAGAACCCCGATTCCTTGCCTCTTAATCCAGCCGTCATGGCGACAGCAATCATAAAATCCTTAGTCTACATCAAACGGCAGAAAGAAACAGAAGTGTGATGGAGAGGGGGTGTGATAGTGAGGAGGGGGGTGAAGGAGCCCAGTGCCGTGCTCCCAGCAGACTGCCTGTTCCCAGGCGGCTGGTTCCGCTCCAGCGACCTTGCGGCACTGACCCGAAGCCTCTGCAGAGATCATTAGCGACGGCGGCCCGCTAACGGACGCATGGGCTCGGCTTCAAGGAGGGAAGAATGTTCTCATTGTGGGGAGAGCAGGCGTGGGCTGTGCATTCTTAGCGGGACTCGGGGCTTTTAGTGCCCTATACTGTTTGGGTTGAAGTACAGACCCCCCCCCCAAAAAAAATAAAAAATAAAAAATTGGTGATTTGCTGTCTGATTCAGTGTAGTATGAATTGACTCCTAGCTCAGGTTCCTGGTGCGAGATGAGCGACAGATGGACGGGCCGCCCCCCCCCAGCCAGGGTCAAGCCTCGGCACAACTGTCAAACGCAGTAATGACGGGGGGGGGTGGGTGGTTTGTGCTCTCCCGTTCATTCGGGGGGGGGGCAGCCTCATCCTTGGGTTCATAGGTCATTACCCCATCCTCTCAGATAACTCATGGTGCTCTTGGAAGCTGGAGCACCTACACTATGAAGATACAGGTGGGGGGGGGGGGCATCTAAAGCACTGTGCTCCTGTGCCTAGAGAATAGAACAAGAACATGGTGGAACCGTGTCCAAGTGCAAATCCCCCAAAAACTACTCCCTGGTCTAACTGCTGGCAGACCCTGCAGGATTCACCCTGGGGGGCTTTATCCTAATATCATGGCCGCCATGTTTGCAAAGAAACAAGTCTTGAGAAGATCACCAAGAAACGAACTTGACAAGAACTATGGTGGCCATGGATACAGCTTCAAATACCAAAGATACTGCACCAATTTCTTTCTTAAGCTCTAAAATGACCACCTTCCCCATTATCTGCCATAAAAAAGAAGGAATATGACAGACAGAAAGTAAATGACACTTATCTGGAGTCTTTTGTGTCTGCAGATGATGTTTATCCTCATATGTTCTTGAGGTGACATTTCCGACCGTGTTGAGCATCACACACAATGTCAGGGTGACTCATGTCTCCCTGCCCTGGGGAACGAACCCTTTCGGTGAAAAACGTTGCCAGTCTAGGAGCTGTGCGCACCACAGGGGCAATTCCCAGCATGCTTTGCTGCCCCTGCTCCGCTTCATACAATGTGACATCTTAAGCTTCGTGCCGCGACTTGACCGATTAGCTGAGGGCAAGTGGCGGTTTCTGAAAAGCTCGTCCACAAGCCGGCGTCTGAGGCTACAGCGGGGGCTTCTGCTGGCAGCCCCTACCTCCAATTTATTTGGTATCAAAAGCTTCTAAAGTGTCAGAATTCAAGGACAAGAGAATCAGATTAAGTATAACTATAGTAAAGAGCAGCTGAAACAGGGATCTAAATGTCAGATAAATGTTTGCAGACTATATTAGTATTAAAAATTAATTAAAAACAGCTAAACAGGATTTGCAAGTGTTACTTTTGGTATGAGATGGTTTAAAATAGCCTTATTGGCTGCTTTTTTACATGATGTTTACATATTACGTGTCTTGTCCTGAGTTTTTTTGTATGCAGCTCCCAGACAAGTTCTAACTGAAGTATCAAGCAGTTTCATCTGAAAGACACTTATCTACAGGATACCCTGTGGCTTTGGTATGCAGGTAACGCCGTTCTTAGTGCAGAGAGTGACCAGCGGTCAGGTTACCGCGCTGCCTTTTCATCAGCTACCCACCAGCTCGCTACGGACGAGTAAGCGCAGATCACCGGAGCGGCCCCCACGCCACCCAGGAGCAGCGATCTGCTGCGGGTGTAACTTAAGAGGCCGAAGATGGAGGGCAAACAGAGAGGAGCGCCCGGTGTGGCGAGGCGGCGCCTCTCAGCCGCGGTATCGCGCAATCCGAGCACAGTGGCGGACACCTCGCGCCCCCTGCTCAGCTGCGTGTCAACCTCAGCTCCAGCATCAAAACCAGTAGAAAGGCGTTTAAATAAACGGGCAGTCTGACAGACACCCCAGTTTGGGGCCTCTTCAGGACCCATGACATGCAAGTATTGTTAGTTGTTAGCATGAATCACAGAGATATTCCAAAAAACAAATACAAAGGCTGCTGCCAGCCAGCTGGTTAGCAGAATATGCCGGTTCAGCTGCACTTGAAGGAATTGATATTTATTGTAGTGACCATTTGTGGCCAACAGGGGGCCACATGCAAATGCATAGTTTGAATGGCGATGAGAATGTTTCTGCTGTGGGTGGAGAGCTGTCGCAAGATGAGGTCTTTTATTCTTAACGGTTCTGAGACAGTCGGCTTCCGGCATTGTTAACCGGGCCCTGCAAAGCGACAGCACGAGCGCGGGGCCCTCGCAGGAATCCCACGATGCACTGCGCGCCGGCAGGGCCGCTCGTATTGCATAACACGCGTTCGGACGAGACCAAAGCGTTTAACAAATCTGATACTCGATTAGAAGGCTCCCCAGCGTGAAAAGGAATCGTGGGGAGAAAAGAATTCAAACGGCCAAAAAGCTGTTTGGGCTGCTGGCGGCGGCCACCTTGGTATCCGTTACCCGCAATGGAGACGCGTAAACGATAACATAACAGGCAGTCAGCAGCAGCCGCTCCGCTAGGGCCGCAGTCAGGCACTTAGGAGTGGCTCACGTTTCAGGCCAGCCTCGGCCTCCAAGCCACACCGGGACCGGATCTGACCGTAAAAACCGGGACCGGTGGCGAATTCTCGACAGGGCTGTCAGGCAGCCAATTGATTTTGTTCAGCTAATTAGGATCAACATGCAGTTTTGAGCCACGGCTCGGTGTCGCGGCTCGGCGCGGTCCAGTGAAAGGTTACATCCGCCGCTCGAGAGCGAGGATCGCGTTGCGAAAATTTTCACGAAAACAAGGTCAGGCGACAAGGTGACTGGACTGCGGCGAGTATAATTTGAACTATCTGAAAGCCATTAAAATTAATTTTTAATAAAGGCGTATTGTTCCATGCATCACGACCTTACGGACCCAAGAAGCATTTCGGATTATTATAATGCTAAAACGACATTTTAATGTTACTAAACAGTTTCGCGTGACATTGCGCAGACCAAAGCTGCATCTTCCTCTGTTGGAGATGCGTGGAAACGGCGATGTTTAGCTGCTGGCGTGGGATTTTATAATGGGGTCACTGTACTGTGCGAAACACGCTAAAATCATGACAAGTGGCATCCCAGCTCCAGTTGGGTCCAGCATGCCGGACAGTAGCGATGTCATATGCAGCGTACATGCCTGACGTGTGCAGAAACTCTGTCCAAGGCAGGAATGTGCTGGTTTAACAGAATCTCCCACCACCCCCTAGGCAACGGTCAACCCTGGACACCGTCCACTGGAAACTTCTGCTCACTATCTGGAGTCAAACGGAGATGTTATCCGACCGTAATTCAGATAACGGTTAGATGGGTCCATTTTGAAACATTTTGTATAAAGTTGTTGTTGTTCTCTTATGTGGCTCTTTAGGCAGGTCTTCCTGGTGCATCGTGGGAGAAGTCCGCAAAAGGAGGCAATGAGAAGAAACACTGCCCCTTCAGGCCAAACGAGCTCAGTGCAGGAGGCACAGTCAGCTCAGGCTTCAGGTTTCCACCTGTCACTGACTGTGCTGAATATGCTACAGTCCATAACATTTAGCATGAAAGAGTGAAAGCCGGCTTGGCAGCCTGACTAAACTGTACCCAGACAGCAGGAACGGTGCTGCGTTCAGTGGCTGTCGAGCTGCTGATTTTCCGGGGCGTAGCGGCAGTGAGACTTTGTAAAATCGGGGAAAGAAATCCGCCTGCTTTTGGAAGGGGGGATTAAGGTGCCACTTAAGCACATTTTCCATATAGAAGTACAGCATGTTTACACTGCATGTCGCCCAATGCAGTGACTGCACTGGCTATGGACACACTATGCATCACATTTAATTTAACAACATACATTTTTTAAGAAGCAGTGTCAGACTGTCCCTGGAGCAGCTGGGGGCTAAGGGTCTGGCTCAGGACCCTATGGTGACATCGCCCTGCCAGCCCTGGGATTTGAACCAGCAACCTCCCGATCACAGGCGGAGCCACACATCCCCCGCACGCCATATCCTCCAACATACCTGATGGCAGGGGGCACGTACACATTTATCGCTAGAAACGTTGGAACTGCGAACGGAGTGGATTGTCTGAGATCGAGGTCCCGCCGTTTTACCCGATTATACCTTAATGACAGAACCTGACCAAGTGAGCACAGTGTAAACCTGCGGTGACAGGCAGGGAAGCGAAAAGAAAATGCAACGTTGTGTCCTGAATGGGAGGAGCACACACAGAGGGAACTGGGTATACTGGAACAACTGGAGGCTGAACATGACACCAAACAGCTGAAACAAATTCAGTAAATAATTTTTATTCCTAAAACCTGTGCACTAAATGGAATGTAAGTCTTCGGATTCTAACAGTTTTTGCTCCACAGAGGAACCTTAAGAGTATTAAAATGATACAGGTACCGTTTGCGATATAAGCCGCACAGTATAATACGCTTCGGTTGTTCAATTTCCAAAGTCTGAAAAGGGGGGGGGGGGTGGTAGTGTCCAGGACTCCTGCGATTGGCCAAAACTCTCTCCAGGGCCACCGCAACGTGATCAAAAAGACAGGGATGAATTCCTCCCGTCCAACGTGTAGCGGCGGCTTGGCTCTCAGGTAGTTATGCCCCTCCCCCACACAAATGACCCTGCAGCCCCAGTCTGGTCGGCAGGATTAGTGTAACACGTCCTATTCTGCTCATGGGAGATTAGGCCAGAATGCACATTAATCCCAAAAACACTGACAGTCTAGCTGACGGCCTCCATTTAAAGTGCATTCTGATCCACTCCCCTTCAGAGTCGATGAGGTCACACACCCCCCCATCCCGCGACGACAGGCACAGCCATGCTGAGCGCCACGCCCCTTTCTACTCTCTCGCTTCTGAATGGACCACTGGAAGGGAATTTAGAAACACAAGCAAGGCAGACAGACGGCTGCGGGAGCGGGCCGGTCATGTGACCCCTAAACAGAGACGCCCACTTTTTTGGAGCACGTGTATGATACAAAAAACCATACATAGGACCCCAAACGCTCACTGGGAAATAATACCAAAAATAACGATAGAAAACCTTTAATGCTGAAAATGAGTCCAGGTCCCAGGAAAATAAATAACACAAAAGCTGTGCCAACCCGCCCCCCCCCCCACACCGATCTTTTCTCGCTCTGTCGTTTTCCAGGCTCAGGGTCTGAACTGGGTGAACTGGGTGGGGGGGGCCTGCGCCCCATACCGGTAAGGCGCGGGGCCCAAGGCAGTTCTGAAGGCCTGATTATGAGAAAGGCCGACGCCCACTCCGAGGCCTGCTCCCATCCCGAGCCCAGAGCCCGGCCGCACGGCGCCCTGTCCAATAGCGCTGTTATATGCGGCCGCCCCGTAGGCGAGCCCCAGGCTGTGAGGCCTGTGGAAGTGCGCCATGGGCAGCGTGGCCGGGTTGATGCTCTTCCCCGGAGTGTTGAAGGAAAATTCGGGTGGGGGGCTGCTCAGCTTGGCCGGGGTGGAGGTCAGCGGGTCCAGCTCCTCCGCCGACTTGGCCGCCAGTGCCGGGGCACCGGGAAGGACGCTGTAGTCCGAGGCGACCAGCACACCTGCCGGGAGGCTGCTGGCCACCAGGGGGGGCCGCATCCAGTCATCCTTGAAGATCTGAACTGTCAGCGTGGAGACCAGAGTGTGGAGGCGGCTGGTCACATGGGCCAAGACCATTTGCTCGCTGGCATCGCGGCGGATGCGGACGTGGATCGAGCCAGCCTGTCCGTGCAGAGACAGCGACAGTGGGTTAACACTTCAAACTCAATCCCATGTTGGCAATATCAGCATATCTGACTATCAAGGGGGACGTACATGCCTGTTGAAATCAGGGTTGGGGCCATTCTGGAATGCATTCATCAATTCCAATCCAAATCAGGAAATGGATCTGGAATTGGGACTGGCGAAAAAAAACTACGGGGAGCAGAATTGGAATTGAATTCGAATTTCAGGGAGATTTAAATCCCTGCTCCAGTTCCTGATTTGAATTGGAATTGAGGAATGCATTCCGGAATGGCCCCAACTCTGGCTGACATTAAAATTAGCTATTTTAAATAATTACATACTGATATACCGCACACGCACAGACACACACGGACGGACTTTACCCCAGACTAATCTGCTAGTTTCTCATGTGACGAGTAGGGAAACGCTTAGAGAAATATTACAGCTCAGTCTAAGCAGAAAAAAGCTACCAAGCCAGACGTCAACCCCAGTCGGGTCGTGGGGGGTCGGTAAGGTTTGTGGGCTTTTTCGGTTTGTGGCACCTGGTTCAGCACCAAAAGCAGGAAGAATTCTCACACAAAAGCATCCCAATACTCCTTTAACATTCAAAACACTTAATAAATCAACTTTGGAAAATCAACCTTTACTTATGACACATTAGAGAACAGTAGCAGCCTTGAGCTGTGCAGCTTTGCGAGGTGAAGCGCCCCCTACAGCAGAGAGTGTGTAGCACAGGCAGGCTGCCCCGTGTGAGTCCCTGCTGCAGCAGGTTGAATTACACGCCTGCATTATTTAAGCATGCTGCACTCCTGCCATTGTACACGGGGCGGACCCAGCCACCAACTGCCCCGTGGGCTGAGCCTGGCACATGTTACGTATGCCCAACAGCCGGAGAGAATGTGCTATGTGACAGCAGGGCAGACCTGTCACAGAGCGAGGCGAACGCCACGTGGGGTCCCCTACAGCGCGGACACGAGCACGACAGACAAGCACAGGAGCCCTGACCTGCGGCTGATGGGGAACAGGCGTTCAGGAGATTCACTGGTGCATGGTAAAGACCAAGGGGGGGCTAAAATCACACATCACACACAAGCCCTCGGCCACCATCCTGGAAGCATTGGAGCCCAGAACGGAGCACAGGGCAGCCGGCTGGGCACGTACCAAGGAGCCAAAGCCCACCGTCCAGAAGTGCTCGTTCCGGACCTCTAAGACTCCATCCAGCGTGGAGACCTGGGCAGGGAGCAGGACAGAGCACAGGGTTTATCCTGTAGACACGGTGTAGCTATAGAAAATACCATTTAGCGTTTGGGGTCAGACTGGACCATAAAATAAAGCAACTCGGCACCACGTGTCAACGTTAGAGCAGATCCGGCGCCGGGAGACACTCACCTCTCGGAGCACTTTATCCAGCTGGCCAATGACGTGGGAGGGCGTGGTCTGTGTGTGTGTGTGGGGGGGGGGGTGTGGAGAACAGCAGCAGGTTAATCTACAGGGTTACTCACTCACGCACGCACCTGACCCAACACACTCCTTTATGAGGGTGGGGGGGGGCACAATGTTACTAATGGACATCTTCTAAATGCTCAAAGTCAGACAGTTGTTGTGTTAAAATCCTTCTGGGCCAGACCCACAGCCGCTGGTTTATATAAAGACCTGGTAGGTGCAAACATGAGTGTCTGATGAGGCTTGGAGGGTGCTGCATGTGTGTCGACGCGTATAGGGCCGGCAGGGGCGGGGGGTTGGTGATGAGGTACCTGGAGCAGCACCTTCCCGCTGTAGACGCTCATCGGGTACATGGTGCCGAAGGTCATCAGGGCGATGATCACAGCAGAGGCCGTGTCCATGGCGCTGTAGTTACTGGGGGCGGAAGCACAAAGGCTCGCACTCGGGGCAGAGATTTCAGCAAAGGTCTCCGTATGGACCCAGAGATCTGCGGTATTCAGCGGGCATGGAGAAGGCGGGACGCCAGGGCGGGCAGGTGGGCGCACGGCGGACTCACTTGATCTCGATGAGCATGTAAGTGACGCAGAGCGACAGGGCGCCGGCCAGGTTGATCAGGACGAAGGGGTTCATCCGCGGCAGGAGCACGCCGCTGAGGCCTGGGATGACCCCGCAGAGGCTGCAGGATGGGCTGCGATTAGGGCACACGGAAACCAGGGGGGCGGGGCCACAGGGACACTGAAAGACGATTGGCCCTTGCCGTGACCCCACCCCTGTCACTCAGCGATTCCAAACATCTCAGCAGCTAATAAGGCTGGCCCCTCTGTATGAATTATGGCCCCACCTTAAAAAACCTAGAATCACCCATGAAAGAGAGAGATTTCATAACAGGAAAACAGAGCCTACAGCTCCTGACACGTTCCCATGTGAGGGGGTTCCAGGCTGTTTCAAACAACTGAATTATGTGAATTATTTATCGGGGGGGGGGGAATGACCAGAGGCCTCTGCGCCTGCGATCGGAACATTGTCAGTTCAAGGCCCAGCCTCATCAAAATAATCATGTCTGAGGGACCTAGAGCAAGGCCCTTAACCCCCAGCTTCTGGGACTCTGCACACCGGCTGACCTGCCCTGTGACCCCCAGACTCCCGCTAACCTGCATTTGTGTCTGTGTGTCTCACGGAGCGCAAGGTAGGCGAAGAGAAGCATTCCAAAGTGCCGGCACTCGTACTTATGCAAATGAAAAACACTGTGCTTCGCCAGTCTTTGCCTTTAAAATGGAAGTGCAAAAACAGAACACGTCCTTCACTAACTCTTACATCACCGCAAGGCGCGAGAGGCTATATGCCAGGCTTAAAACCAGCTATAAAAACACTGAAGACTAGCCTGGCGCTCCATAAACAGACGGACACCTCCCGACATCCCGAACTGCTGTCAAACTCCCGCGTGGGAACACGATCCCGCTTGGTGACGCAGAGAACAGGCTGCGGCTTGCTGCTGGAAGGCCCTCAGACCCGGGATACGGCATCGCAGGAACGCCGCGACTCCGCTTTAATCCCTCAGGTCCGAACAGGTAAAAAGCGAGGGATTAGCAGGAGGTGCAAACACGACACCCGATAACGTCCCGGGACAAACGCGGAACCTCCCTGGGAGCAGCGAAGCCTTAAAGGATCAGCCTCTCATTTAGCTCCACATGAGAGGGAGGCGGATTCTTACATCATACTGCGTATGAAACGTCGTAATCTGACTTCATAAGAGGGCAGAGCGTGGCTGTGCCGGTGATCAGAAAGCTGCTGGGTTTGGCACAGTGATGTCACCATTGGTCCCCAGAGCGAGTGTGATTAACATCTGCTACCTTGCAGTGGCAGCGCCCAGTTGTGTCCCATGGACACTGTGTCACGTCATTGTTTATCTTAGACGCCCCCTTCCACACCCATGAAAACCCCCCCTGAGGTCGCACACCTCTGGGCTACATACTCTCGGGTCCTATGGAATGTGAAAACATTGCAGGAGCATGCAAATGGCCCTTTGGGGACAGTCCCCCCCAGCCCACCCGCCTGCCATTTCCGGCACGTCCTGCGAGACGGCTGAAGGATGACTGGCATGCTATAAAAAAAATCCAGGACTTAGGTGAACAGGTAAGGCCTTGGTACCAGGAGGGGCGTGGATACGGGTCGGGACCCAGGTGGGTGTGGCCAGGCCCAGGGGTCGGGACCCAGGGAAAGGTGCCCCCCCCTCCCCCACACAGCAGGGGAGGTGACCGAGCCCTTCAAAGCCTCGCCGCAGCCGGGGTGTCAGTGACAGGAAGCTGAGAGCTGCGGAGACTCTGTCCACTCACGCAAATCGATGTGTCTAGCTCAAAATACGGGAAGACAAAAAGGGGGAGGGGGGCAGCGTGAGGGGGGGGCGCTTGGAGAACAAAGACACGATTACAGCTCCTGCAAATAGTTCGACCGGACGGGACGTGGGGCGATTCCCAGGAAAGAAAACAGCACGTGCTGGTGCCTCTCGATGCCGGCTTGATTACAGGCAGATATTCGTGGTCAGTATCGC